CCAGCAGGAACTCATTAGCATAATAGGCCACACCCAACAGCAGGAACATATTAGCATATTGGGCCACACCCCTGACAGCACAGCTCATTAGCACATTAGGATGCACCCCCATGTTACCAGAAGTGTGGTTATCCAGCCACACCCACCTTTTGCTTCTTATTCTGTTTACCCTGTTTGTTGTTAAAACCCAGGGCTTTTTTTAACTCCTTTGCATGTTAGGCCACACACCCCTAATGTAGCCAATCCTAATGAGTTTCTGCTGTTGGGTGTGGCCTATTATGCTAATGAGTTCCTGCTGGGCGTGGCCAACTTGGGAGCCAGCCGGAACTCCGTTCCTGTGCGTTCCTGCCCAAAAATAGCCCTGGACTGTCTACCAAAAATCTGGGCCTTCTCTGTCGTGGCACCCTTGCATGGAAATCCTTCCCCGCATCTACTGACCCGCCGTCTCAGCTTTTGACTTTCGGGTGCCAGGTGTTTTTATTTTCCTGGATATGTGGCAAGAGTTAAAGATGGACGGACAACAGGAAGTACTACTTTACACAGAGAGTGATTAAAATGTGGAATTCGCGGCCAGAGGATGTAATGATGGCCATGGGAATAGGCTGCCTTGGAGCTGCCCTGAGCCTGCCGAGGCGGGGAGGGCGGGATACAAATTAAACAAATAAAATAAATAATCAAAATAAAATGGGATTAGAGAGATTCACGGAGGAGAGGTCTACTAATGGCTACTAGCCAAGGTGACTGAGGGGAACCTCCACACTCAGAGGCAGTCAATGTCTACATGCCAGAGCCAGGAGGCAACATCAGGCGAGGGCCTCGGCCTCTCTGCCCTGTTCTTGGCCCTCCAGAGGAGCTGGCTGGCCACAGTGTGAGACAGGATGCTGGACTAGATGGACCCTCACTGGTCTGATCCAGCAGGGCTCTTCTGGTGTTCTTAGGAGTAACATCAAGGGAAGGCCTCGGCCTCTCTGCCCTCTTGCTGGCCCTCCAGAGGAACTAGTTGGCCCCTGTGTGAGAGAGGATGCTGGACTAGATGGACTCTCACTGGTCTGATCCAGCAGGGCTCTTCTGATGTTCTTACGTGGCTGGACCTTTCCTTTTTGTTGCTTATTGCCATTTTCCGTTGTCCTTATTGATTTTATATTGTTCAACTGTGTGTCATGTCATTTAATGGTGTCAATTCGAATTTATCGTGGTGGCTTTTGACCAATGATTATCATTTGTCTGCAGGCAGCATTAAAATATTTAAAATAAATAAACAAATCCGCCGGATTCGAGTCCCGTCGCACCTAAGAGACCAGCAAGGTTTTCAGAGTATAAGCTTTCGAGAGTCGGAGCCAATGCTGCCTCTAAGCCGTGGAGTCTTGTGAGCAAAAGTTCTACTTTGTGAGCTACGGGCATTAAAGTTGTGAGCGAGCGATTTAGCTACTGCACAAGTTAGTTTGGTCTGGAGCCCTCCTTCCTGAGCTAAGACAAAAATGTGTGAACTGGAGGCTAACAAGCCGTGAGCTAGCTCGCACTGACTCAGCGCTCCGTTTGTCAGATAGGGATCCCCATTCGTACTTGTATCTGACAAAGGAATTTTTGCCTCTCAAAACCCAGAAATCTTGTCGGACTCTAAGGGGCTACTGGGCTCGAATCTTACAGACCAGCTTGGCGACCCTCTGAAACAAAATAATTTTGGTATTTCAGAACGGTACGATTCCCTCCTACGTCCTTCTTTGCATGCTTCTATTCCGAGCTTCAAGCAAAACAAATAAATACAGCGAAAGAAAGAACTCCGTTTGGAGTTCTTTCACCAACGTCCTTTTCAGGGCACGGCCGCCGGGGGACCTCAGGTAAGACAATGTTACGGGGTCAGGGGTTGCCCGAATTAGTCCTGCTTGCCCTCCCTTCGACACTGCACCCCCGGTAGACTCCTCACAAAGAGGGGGATAACCTCTAGGGCTCCAGTGAGGAAAAGCAGTGGCTTAGAGACCACTTTATGGATGGCTGAGCAGAAAGGGCGCCCCTAAGCTCCACCGAGCTATTGACAGAGCAGCCGCGGCCAAACAATAAAGGCCCAGCCTTCTCTAAGCCCTCCTTTAGCTTAATGCTGCCCCCCCCTCAAAGGGCAGTGGCTCTCGAGGGGTCATTATTCCCATTGTTTGTTCACATGCAACAACCAAAAGGAAGGGGAGGAGGGGAAAGTGGGAGGCCCGGTGGTGTGTGGGGCGGGCGGAGGTTTGTGGCGGTAAAGTCACATCAAGCGATAAACCAAGCCTGGGGGGGGGGGTTTACCGGTTTGCACCCTCTCGCAGTCCTGAGCTAGGCTTTACTGATTGCACCGAGTTACAATGCATGGGCATCTCTGGACTCATATTCTGAGAAGAGTACTTAGCCAGTTATTAAAGAAGAGGAGAAGAAATTGGATTTATACCCCACCCTTCACTCGGAGTCTCAGAGTGGCTTAAATTCTCTGAGTCAAGGGCGGGGAATAAATCCAATCTCCTTCTCCTCCTTCTGTGGCAGAGCATCTGCTTGGCAAGCAGAAAAGGGGTGCCTGGTAGGCTTGTCACCTTCCCTATATGTATGTGGCCCTAGACTAGGATTTGTGTTAATTGAAACATGTAAGCCGCTCTGAGCCCTAAGGGGGTGAGCGGGATACAAACTGAAGGAAATAAATAAATAAATAAATAAAGTCCCAAGTTCAATCCCCAGCATCTCCAGTTAAAAGGACCAAGCAGTAGGTGCTGTGAAAGACCTCTGCCTGAGACCTTGGAGAGACATAGTCAGGGGCTGTGGCTGAGTGGTAGAGCATCTGCTTGGCATGCAGAAGGTCCCAGGTTCAATCCCTGGCACCTCCAGTTAAAAGGACCAGGCAGTAGGTGATGTGAAAGACCTCTGCCTGAGACCCTGGAGAGCCATGGAGAGGGCTCAGAGGCAGAGCATCTTCTTGGCATGCAGACGGTCCCAGGTTCAATTCCCGGCATCTCTAGTTGAAAGGATCAGGCAGTGGGTGATGTGAAAGACCTCTGCCTGAGACCCTGGAGATCTATACAAAGGGGTCATGGCTCAGCAACTGCTTGGCCTGCAGAAGGTCCCAGGTTCAATCCCTGGCCTCCCCAGTTAAAGGAATCAGGCCATAGGTGCATTCACAGACCTCTGCCTGAGATTCTCGAGAGCTGCTGCCAGTCTGAGTAGGCAATACTGACCCCAACAGACCAAAGTTCTGATTCAGTATAAGGCAGCTTCACGCGTGAGAATAGTAGCAACAACAAAAACCTTACCCCGGCCACAGTCGGGACCCAGGAAGCCAAGAAAACAATGGCAGGTGCCCGAAACACAGTCTCCGTTCCCGTAGCAGTTGCTGGGACAGTTATCCACCGATTCTAGGGGATGAAAAAACAGAGACAAATCAATCCATGTCTGAAATAACGAAGCAGTTGCTCGTGCATGTGGACTGCATCTCTGGCACATCGTTCAGCCCATCAGTATCCTGGTAACATTCCACCAAACAACAACAGAATGGGTTGTACCCAAACAAAATTGACGATTTCTATCCATTTCCCCTTCCTGCTTCAGACTCCACTCCCATCATTCCATGGGGGCCCACGTACCCCCAGTAGCAGGATTTCACAGAGATCAGTGGGTTGCAGTGAGAAGGGGTGAAGCATGGAATTTCCATTTTCCCACGGGGACATTTCATCTGGATCCAACCCAATGTTAGGAACTCGACAGACAGGGAGATACTGTTAGACCCAAGGAACAAAGTTTGCGTCCAGTGGCACCTTTAAGACCAACAAAGTTTTATTCTGAGGATAAGCGTTCGTGTGGATGCACACTTCTTTAGGTACATTGACCCAAGGAACAGCAGACTTATTAGGATCACTGACACAAAGTCACACTAAGAAGAAGAAGAGATTGGATTCATACCCCTCCCTTCACTACCCGAAGGAGTCTCAGAGCGGCTTACAAACTCCTTTCCCTTCCCCTCCCCGCAACAGACACCCTGTGAGGTAGGTGGGGCTGAGAGAGCTCTGACAGAAACTGCTCTTTTTCAAGAACAGCTCTGACTGAACTACGGCTTGTCCAAGGTCACCCAGCAAGTGGATGAGTGGGGAATCAAACCCGGTTCTCCCAGATTAGAGTCCGCGCACTTAACCACTACACCAAACTGGCTAAGCCACATTCTCTCCCCAGCGTCTTAGATTTTATCACTGCAGCATATTTTCAAGTTCATCACTGTAACCTAAATGAGTAAAAATGAAAATGTGGTACATTTGATGCAAAACGGGGTTTAAGGTTCTCTAAATGTTACACTCCGTGCTAAAACGCTTTCTTCCAACTCAGTCTAGCTTGAAAACGGGCTCCTTACCTTCATCTGGCTGATCTGGTTACCTGGGTCTGTGCCACAGTGACATTGAGGCTAGACTACTTTTTAGAGGACGGGTCCTGTTTTTTTGGTGTCCTCTTTTGGGGTCTTTTTTTAAAAAAAACAACAGATGCAAATGTCGTCTTTTGGGGTTGGAAGGTTTGGAATGTTCCTATTTATTTATTTATTATTTTATTAATTTTTTGCATTTTTACCCCGCCCTCCCCGCTAATGGGCTCAGAGCGGCTTATATGGGGGCACAAGCCATACGTGAAAACAGTATAAGACAGTAAAAACTATTAAGTCACAACAAAAACAAATAAGGTGCTCCATATAAACAAGATGGTCTCTGAAGATGGTATCGATCATTTCATTAGGGTGAAATTGTCCTGTCGATGGTCCAATCCGGTCCAGCAGCATCAGTGCCATGCAAAATTGTGGCTCCCAACCCCGTTGTTTCAGTGGTGGTAGTAGTAGAGGTGGTAGAGGTGGCGGCCCCTATATAAAAGCCTGGCGGAAGAGCTGCGTCTTGCAGGCCCTGCGGAACTGCGTAAGATCCTGCAGGGCCCTGATCTCCTCCGGGAGCTCGTTTCACCAGGTGGGGGCCGCCACTGAGAAGGATCTGGCCCTGGTTGAAGCAAGCTTTGCCTCCCAGGGGCCTGGAATCACCAGGCGGTGTTGTGTACCCGACCGAAGTGCTCTTGGGGGTATATGTGGGGAAAGGCAGTCCCTCAGGTAGGTCGGACCCTGGCCATATAGGGCTTTAAAGGCAAGAACCAGCACTTTGAAGCAGATTCGGTATGCTATTGGCAGCCAGTGCAGCGCTTTCAGCCCAGGCTGGATGTGCTCCCACCCATCAACAGCTTGGCTGCCGCATTCTGCACTAGCTGCAGCTTCCGGATCTGTGACAAAGGTAAAGGTTCCCTTGCTCGAAAGCCAGTTGAGTCCGACTCTAGGGTTGCGGTGCTCATCTCCGTTTCAAAGCCGAAGAGCCAGCGCTGTCCGAAGACGTTTCCGTGGTCATGTGGCCGGCATGACTAAACACCAAGGAGCACGGAACGCTGTTACAAAAGCAGCCCCTAAATTCACCTGCGGGACCACCTCTCCTGGTATGCCCCCCAAGAGCTTTACGCTCGGGAGATCAAAACTGACTAGCGATCCCTGGCCCAAAAGATGTCCGGCTGTCCTCAACTGGTGGAACTCTCTCGGCCTGGTGGAACTCTCTACCTAGTAACATCTGCGCCCTGCGGGACTTTGCTCAGTTCTGCAGGGTGTGCAAAACAGAGATGTTCCACCAGGCCTACAGTTGAAGACCGCGACCGTTCCTTACCATGGCCTCCACCTGGCCTTACTAATACCAGCATGTGATCCATCTTATGGAGGAAGCAAAGTTATAGGTATGCCATCTATTATCTGGAGGAATTTACACTGCTTTATCTGTTTTAACCATTTATTATTTTCTATTTCTTGTTTTTAGGGGCTACGGTAGCTCAGAGGTTAGGACACTGAGCTGCAGACCGGAAGGTCGGCAGTGTGGCAGTTCGAGACCCGAGTGCCGCGTGACAGATTGAGCTCCCGTCTCTGGTCCCAGCTCCTGCCAACCTAGCAGTTCGAAAGCAAGAACTTGCAAGTAGACAAATAGGTATCACTTTGGTGGGAAGGTAACAGCGTTCCGTGTGCCTTGGCATTTAGTCATGCCAGCCACATGACCACAGAAACGTCTTCGGACAGCGCTGGCTCTTTGGCTTGGAAACGGAGATGAGCACTGCCCCCTAGAGTCGGGTTCGACTAGCTTTCGAGCAAGGGAAACCTTTACCTTTTACTATTTATTGTTTTTAATTGTTCGTGTTTAATTCATGACGTACACTGCCCTGGGCCTTCCGGGGAAGGGTGTTTTATAGATTTATTTAAATAATAACAAGAGCGGCAATAAAATTGGGAAGAAAATAAAGCCACGACAGTAAATAGGAGGGGGGGAAAGAGGAGCAAGGTGCAAGGCAAAGCAGTTTATTTGATCTTTTAGATCCCACAATGTGCTTCGTCCAGGGATCTCAATCAAAAATGCCTCTATCTCCTACCCTGTTGCGCAAATTGGCTCTAAACCGATCCATATCAGTCCAGACCTTGAAACACAATACTCGTTCTATCGCGTCCTCAAAGAGCTAATCAGCCACGGCTTTACGCTGTCCACCACTTCCCGTTTTGTTTTCACCAACGTCTCATGCTATTCATGTTTACAATTTGCTTTTTATAAAAGCGGAAAAGAACCCACAATGCTTTAGGGCTTATTAAACATTAATTTTTTTCTCTCTCCAAAGAGAGAATAAAGATCACTCCCCGAGGATTTCTCAGCGCAAGTTTGCATAAAGACAGGGTACCGTCGTGCTGGCGGGATGACAAAATAGCACGGTTCGTCGGAGGCTATTGTTTCTGATCCTAACCCGACGTAATGGGTGTCATATTAAAATGGGATGTAATTACAGAGGAGCAGACTCAACCGTAGCTGGATTCATTTTTCACCGAGACAGGTTAGAAACAGCGGTAGGAGGACACTGTGACAACTCCTGAGTTGTTGGTTTTTTTTAAAAGGTTAATTCCGGTCTGTGAAACAACATATCTAACATTACTTAGGTCCAGACAAGGAGGAAAATTAATAGTTCCAAATGTCCACACAGAGGCGGGGCTAAGAATACCCGGGGCCTTTCTAGATGATTAAAAAAGTTCTGTAAAGGCTATCGTTGTTAGACCGGGCCCAGTAGCAGCAGCAGTGTGGTATTCCCAGAGTTGCCAACCTCCAGGCAGTGACTGCAGATCTCCCAGAATTTCAATTAATCTCCAGGATACAAAGAAAAAGAAGAAGAGAAGAGATTGGATTTATACCGCCACCCTTCACTACCCAAAGGAGTCTCAGAGCGGCTTACAAACTCCTTTCCCCTTCCCCTCCCCACAACAGACACCCTGTGAGGTAAAAGAAGAAGAAGAGGAAGAGGAGATTGGATTTATAACCCGCCCTTCACTACCCAAAGGAGTCTCAGAGCGGCTTACAAACTCCTTTCCCCTTCCCCTCCCCACAATAGACACCCTGTGAGGTAAAAGAAGAAGAAGAAGAAGAGGAGATTGGATTTATACCCCACCCTTCACTACCCAAAGGAGTCTCAGAGTGGCTTACAAACGCCTTTCCCCTTCCCCTCCCCACAACAGACGCCCTGTGAGGTAGGTGGGGCTGAGAGAGCTCTATCCAGGACTGTCCTTTAGAGAACAGCTTGGCCAGAACTATGGCTTGCCCAAGGTCATCCAGCAGCTGCATGTGGAGGAGAACCAAACCCGATTCTCCCGGATTAGAGTCCGCGCTCCTAACCACTACACCAAACTGGTTTGTGGGCTTGGATCTAGTACAAGATCACACCTGTTCTACTGCCCATTTCCCCAAACTGTGCACTGCTGGCTACATAGATCACTTGGGCACAAGTGCTACAAACTCTGAGAAAACCAAGTATCAAGCGAACAAAAACTGGAAAGTGGGGAATCAAACCCGGTTCTCCCAGATTAGAGTTCGCGCACTTAACCACTACACCAAACTGGCACCAAACCACTACACCAAACAAAGATCAAGTCCCCTGGAGAAAGCGTCTGTTTTGGAAGGTGGTTTCTATGATGCTATGGATCAAGATGGGTCACCCTGTTAGTCTGTCTGCAGCAGTTTTTATTTATTTATTTATTTATTTATACCCTGCCCTACCCCAGGAAAATGGAGCTGCGGTGGCTCAAGTGGTTAAGACGCTGAACTGCAGGCTGTGGAACGTCAGTAGTTCAGCAGTTCGAGACCCGAGTTGCCGCATGACGGAGTGAGCTCCCGTCTCTAGTTCCAGCTCCTGCCAACCTGGCAGTTCGAAAGCAAGAAATTGCAAGTAGATAAATAGGTACCACTTCGGAGGGAAGGAAACAGCGTTCTGTGCGCCTTGGTGTTTAGTCATGCCGGCCACATGACTACGGAAACGTCTTCGGACAGTGCTGGCT